GGCTTAAACTGACAGTGGTTATTAAGTTGACTGGGTTTCAGTAGGCTATGCACATTTTGCATACACCACCCAGACGGTATCTACTATGGTATTTAATGACACATCTTCAAGTAAAAAAATTTAAGCTAACACTTCTATGTTCATCACGAAAGCTAAAATGTCGTGAAGATCATATAGTTAGTCTGTTCCTCAAACATGGTTCATAGTAGAGTTCAAAGACAACTCTCCTACGGTTCTCTGGGTTCCTCCTTTCACTTTAGTTTTAATTATACGGTAAAGCAGTTATGCAAACGGACCGAAATTGTCCTTGAGTATTTTCTTTCTTCGTATAGTGTAACTTAACGCTACTATTTGGCAATATTCTCATGCATAATCTTTGTTCTTATAACAAAGTTGATGAACGAATGCGAATTTGTTTATCCGTTCTATCATAACATTTTATTCACCCATCATTCTAATATATACCATTACCATCTCTCTTTAAGATTAAGTCGTCATTTGCAATTGACCGCATAACAGTTGCCCACTTTTCGATTATGTATTGATTTGTGGAATTGTTTGGCCAGCAGTTTTTGATTTACGTCATCTATGACTAAGCAGCAGTTTATCTTCTTGCCTTGTTTTTCTACCCACTTCTAGATTAGTTTGAATTGTGACTGCCTGAGTAGATATGCCTATTTATACTAGGTGTTTATGTTGCCGCTGTTTTTATCCTTTTGACTCTGACAACAGTATTTTTTAAGATTGTCTATATCTTTAATTGAGCCAACTTATCACGTAGTCGTATATGGATCCTGGTCAAGATTTGACCGAATAGTTTCACGAGGATTGTGCATCGAGTAGACGGTTAACATTAGACATAAAGCTGCTTGTGTGTAAATCTCAGCGTGTCTGAAATAAATAATCCCAAAGTTTTGCACGGAAGTTTGGTCCGAATGATTATTTCCTGTAGAAGCCCAGACCAGACTTCTGTGCAAAAAGTTGGGATTATTTGTCTCGAACATGCAGAGATTTATACGAGTATAACTTTTTTCACATAGGTGCTTGCTTTTCTTCTACATAGTAATCAGCAATTTAATGTTATCAAGACTTACCATCTCCGATAGCACGGTTTGATTTTCTTCCGCATATCTATTAAACATGGTTCTCACAGTATATTCAGCTTCTTTCATTAGATTGATCCATTCCAAAGTATTTAGTGTTGGCCGTTTTGGTCATTGTTTGTAAACTATCCGACGTCAACCAATATTATTTTTAGTTGATCAATATGAAAAATCCTCTTCATATTCTTAATGTGAAGAATGTAATCCCAGCTTCCGCTTGGTTTCTCACTTTCTTCTGCATGTTTGTGGTTCTTCTGTAGTTACTAACCTTAGAGACGTTTGGATCGTAGTAACCTAACTTCACGGAGAATAGTCTCCAATAGGTCGTACAGCTTTTTCTAGATGTATTTTTTTATCGCTAGGGAAGAATGTTGTGAATTAGCATAATATATTAGAATTTGATTTTTTCTTTAATATTAATAGTCAAACAAACTGCAATTACCTTGATCCGATATAAATCACCATTGACTATGCGTCTTTTTGTTAATAGTGAATTCCTCATCGGGGTAATTGAGTGTTTCTTTTTAGACAATGGTATTGTCAGGTGAAGTTTGGGTATGCAGACATTGAATGCTTGTATTGATTAAAGCACACATGCAAAAAACAACCTTGTACTTTTTATGCCCTTGTTTGCGTCGGCATTTTGTTCTGTTTTTACCATCTGTTTAGTAATGTAGTGTTTTAGTCTACGGCGATGAAAAGATTGTCAGACTTTACATACTTTTACGGATTAAATCGCTTGAGGTGTATAAAAGCGATTTTTGAGTCTGTTGCTCCAGTAACAGGTTAATTTATGTATTTGCCGTATTCTTATTAGGTGATAGGAACTATTTTGATGCATAAACATTTAGTTATTTGTGAATATAGACAATCAGCTGTATGTTTTGTGCACATGTAGTACACAACTAATTTTTTGCTAGTGTCATTCCCTTGAAGTGGGTACCATTCTCCATTTTCACCCCAAATACACTGATCTACAAATATCTCATAATAAGTGGCACCACTGGCTAGTGAGACACGAACATGTACTACAGTTGTCGATTTGGAGTGGTAATGTTGATTCAAAATGAGTAAGAGTATAGCCGAGTATCTAGAAAGCCTCTACTATGATATAATGTGTTGTAGAGTGCGTAACTGTTGACATGGCCCGTACATTAAAATACTAACTCTCAAGATGGGGTGATTGTTTGCATGGGTCTGACGACGTAGCTCCAAGCATTGTATTTCAATGTCTGTGTCATTGAAAGAAAAATTGCGTTTATGGGTTAGGTAAAACAGGCAATGATTTGAACCCAGATAGTTGTGCCATAATTTTAGTGCTTTTTTGTGCACCAAACGTGTGTCACATGTATGTTAGTAGATTAACTCTTTATTCATAGCCAAATTTCACTTGAATTTATTGCCTATAGTGTCTATTCACATTTTCAAATACTGTTATACATTGACACAATTCGTTTTCTTTTCGTGTAATTCTGTTGTTTATATGTGATATATGTAAAAACCTGTACGCCCAGATATTATTGAGGTAGGAAATTTGAATATACATATGATTTCTAGTTGTTAATTTGTTTCTTTAATATAGTGGCTGTTCATACTACATAGGCGTGTATCTGAGTCTCTTTCTATCGGTTCTTTTCGTACCCCAAATTCATGTTAAGAATGATAATGCCTATGGTTTCTATTGTACTATATGTCTCCTGGAATGGTTGTGCTAATTTCGTGGCTGCCTGTTTCCTGTTTTATCTGTACATTTTGTAAACTGGTAACAGATCAATATTCTACTTGGTACTAACCATCACATTCTAAGACGTTACTCACGTTTTTGCACATCTGTTTGTTTCTGCAGAAACTTAAATTCTGTCTACATCCAATTGCCGGTTGCCTAAAGGTTTCCAGAATCCTGTTTTTACGAGGATGTAGACATGATTTTTTATTGGTTTTGACCTAATTCCAGTTAATTCGTTCCTAGTAACGCTGATATATGGTGGGGAATATTTGTAGCTCAGGTGAAATTTATTTGATACACACTTCTGCTAATCTATTGAAAAGTTATTATATTAGTCCACAGTTAATTTGTTTATAACTGCCTCAAAGAATTACACCTTCTTCATTGTTATTTTTAAGTGTATGTAATACTCAAATCGATCATGTGTTTTGTTTTCACAGTAGTAACTATATCTGCATCTTTTTGTCACATGCATTCTCAAGCTTCCTTCTTTCAAACATTTGTATTTTATTAATTCAGTTTCATTTATACATCAGCTAGTAGCATATTGATTACCTTACTTATCATATGTTAAGGTGAAAGTTACCTTACCTTTTCATACATAGAGACTAGTATGTGAGTTTTGTTCACAAACTAACACATTGTTGAAGAATTGCAACCTAGAAGATATTTCAACCTCTGTTACGTTTTTACCTCTCTTAAGGTGTGCAATCTATTCTGAGAATCGATCCATAAAAGTTCAAGTGGGGTTGTGCTAACCTACCGTTGAAGAGCTGGGTGATCAGTCTTTACGAAACTTCGTAAATCTCAATTATACGACAATACATGGGGTAACCGCTTATCTACTTCCTCTGGTTTTTTGATCGATTGCAGATATTATTGGTCTTTAAAAATCAACATCCGGTCAGGCACAGTTTTATGTTTACGGATGCTAGACAGATAAAACAAGGGGGAATCTAACGTATCAATAGAATGTTTCAGACTGCCACTCCTCAATAGTTCAAAAAGAGAAAATTTGTGTAAATAAAGAGGAATATTATTGAAGGAAGAACAGATAGATGAATATGTATTCATGATTTTTATCCGACGAAGTTAGGGTTAGTCAACTACTGAAGGGTTTAATTCATATCATGAAAGCAAGCAGGTACTACGACGTCCTCTATGGTTACCAATGTTTATATTCCCAACCTTCTGGTTATATTGTTAGGTGTTTCTGTACACTTTATCCATTATAAAGTTGTTTTTTTCACTCTTAATGCGTCCTTTGTTTATTGTTTGGCGTGATACTATCACTAGATCGCTCTGACTTAACTCGCATAGTGAAATGTTCACTACACACAGGGATTTTCATAAAAAATCTTACAAATTTACCAGTTTTCACCGTTTGTTTAATTGCTTAATTTATTAATGACTTAGTGTTCAATTCAATTTTCCTCTCAGACGGTATTTCGACGTAATGTGTTTTGAAATGATTAGCTAGACATTGCACTTACTGTTGTAACATGTCTGTGTGTAATTTTGAAAAGGCTCGTATTCTTTAGTGTTTGAACATGCATTTTGTCATTTCAATACTTCGAAATAATTTTTGTAGGGTACATTTCCTTTCATTTATCCATGCATTTCTCTGGTTTCGCTTCTTTTTTTTGAATGTCTTACTGTGCCATGTAGGTGTAGTCCAATGGGTTTGAGCCCTATTAACTAGTAAAGCTAGAGTTCCAGTGCAGCTCCGCGTAGTAGAATAACGCACTGCGCCATGTTAGCTGTAGCTTAGCAAAAATATCCCTGTACCTGACTGAGTTGTTTTTTGCCTCCTATTATATCATGTTTTTTTTCATTTAAAACATTTATCTAGGCTTAAACCAGTCACATACTACATATTGGGTTCCTTTTTAATAGTATTGATAAGAATTTTCAACTATTTTATTATTTGTCCATCAGCACTATTAATCAGATCTCTATCTGATTGCTCCATAAAACTGGCTCAATATAATTAAAATACCAAGTAACTACCAACATTATCTAGTTATCAGTTCAAAGAGTTTTTATTCCATCAAGACCCTATCATTTATATTTGACAGCTTATCAAAGCTTTTACGAAGTATGTTTTACATTTCGAATTCAATGTATCGAATAATCACTAATAATAATTCTGTGTACTTTTTTTGCAACAGAGAACTGAATATGAAAAACACTCTACACAAAGGATCCAATGATTCACACCATCCACTATCCAACACTGACCATCTGGGTAGGGGACCGTTAATATTCAAACGTACAAACAGCAATCCATCAAATATGAGTGGTGTTCAAATGTTCAATCAAGTATTACGTCCAGTTCAAAGTTCAGCTTTGACAGCACGTATGTCAAATTCATATCGTGGGTTAAAAATTAGTGATCTTCCGCCTTCGAGTAAACTATCTGATGCTTATTTAAGACAAAGTCTATTCACTGAATTTCGACGATGTGGTCGTATCCAGTCAATAGTATTGCCTCCGACGAATGGACCAACCAATACAACTAGATTGGCGATTGTGACATTTCGGCGGGCAGAAGAGGCAGAGTGTGCTTACCAAGCTATTCAAGGAGGCGCTAAAATTTTGTTTTCCACTCCAGTTTCTGTTGAGTTACATCCAGGTTCGAATGGTGAGTTCTCTTTCTCCAAATTAAGTAGTCCACTACTTTTATGTATATCTACAGCTGTGTGTGTGTGTCTCAGAATGGAGTTTTTCTGCTATAATCCTCCGTATTGTCGGAAAGTTTGTGGCAGTGTGGTTAAAGTTGTCTCGTTTCAGTGATACAGACTCAGCTTGGTCATGTTTCTTAGATTCTTCCCGTTATGACCAATGAGTAGTATTGATTAGCTTAATATGACACCTGTGTAAGCGATTGACTAAGCACATTTAAATTATTACCATTTGTCAGTCATTGGCTTTCCACTAGTCGATCATAGGTCCAAACTTTTTCTTCTTACCGTTAGAGCTTGTAACCATCTAACCTTTGGATTACAAGTGTCTTCCATACTGTACTGTGGAGCCGTTACTCCATGATTTAGACAGTTGACCTTCTACCAATGGGTCATGAGTTTAACCATCTCTTTATCTACCAAGGTTTGGCCAGCCAGTTAGTGTATGATTAGCTTTCACACAATAGGTATGGTCCATTGCTTACTGCACAAATATGCACAAGGTTTCTGAGAGCATTTTGATATTCGTTCAGTACTAAAAAAAATCTGTGCGAATTAGTTAAATTTATTTTATCTCACTGCCTCGAGTGTTTTGTTACTGCTAAAGGATTTGTGTATACATATTATGAAATAACTGGGTGAATATCTGTCGTTCTCTCTGTGAAACTGATCAGATTGATTATTGAGGGGCTTTTTCACACACAACTCCATAAAAATAGCTTGTTAGCTTTGTCAACTACTTTAATCGAAACAAACTGATTGTTGTTGAATAAGGATTAATACTTGACATATAAATGTGTATATACAACACTGCGTAATTCATAATAGTATACCTATACCTATGCATTTGACCCATAACTTATTAGAAGTAAACTGCCGTTGTATCCATCTGTATACACGAACAAATTTAGTGATTCAATTTATTGAAGGCTTGACACAATGAATTTCTAGTCAATGAATGTTGTCGCACAAGAAGTAGCTATCGTGGCTTGGTGGTCTAGTGAATGACACTGGCGTTTAAAGCAATCAGTCCCGAGTCCGAGTCCCAGTGAGAACAATACCACTCACTGAGGGGAGATATATCCAGTCAACCAGCCCCAGATAGGACGCGCATCTTGGGTTCTACTGCTAGTCAATATCCATTATTAAATGAATCAAATATCCATTAGAGCAATTTTTATTGAAAGAATCAACGAAAATTCACTGCAACCGATCATTTTGAAGAGAAGTGATTTTTTGCACACAACACACAGTAAACAACTTTCTTCATATTGCCTTCCGCCCTGTGAATCTCTACCATTTATTTTAAATAGCTTATTGTTGTGTAACTTGAAGCTGATGCAAATACTCTCACGGATTCAATTCCCACTGTATTTACCTACTTCTACTCCACTGAGCTTCATACATTCTTTCACTAAGATGTACATAGTCAATAATATTCCATTGACAGGTGCCTCTTTCAGTTGCTTTGTTGACCAGATGGTTGAAATATTGAGTATTGAAAGATGTAGGTTTTACAAGTTCCAGGTTGTTTATCTAACTTCATAGCTTCTAGAAAGCACTTTTTCAGGGGGTCTTATGCATTAACCTGAAAACTTCACGTTTATAGAATGATAGGAATTCTGATTACATGCTCCTTCTGTTGTCTCAAGGTTTCAATAAGAAGTACCGAAGACAATATATTATGTTTTGAACTACCGATATTGAGTATCCTTTATCAGATAGACTGTTTCCTCTTGGATTTTGGAAATAATGAGTACTTTTGAATAATTGTATCTTATCCTTTACCTTGGGGTGTATTAACACCTATTTTGTTCACTTCATTTTAGGCAATGATGAACTTCCTGTCAAACGTTCTTCAGCCTCAAATGCACTCTTCAGTGGAAATGCTAAACTAAACGATAATTTATTACCAGTAAATGCATTGCCTACTACTACTACTACCACCACACAATCTGTGCAAAACAAAACACTCAACTCTCATTCAACGGAAGATCATACACCAAATAATAATCAAACAACACTGAACAAATCACCAACCAGAACACTTTATGTTGCTGGTCTCACGGTTGGACCAACTGGACCTGTTACCTCTGAACAGTTGACTACCGCATTCCGAAAGTTCGGTGATATCATAGTGAGTTCTTAATTTCGATTAAATGCACATCATAACAATATAATAATAGTAATAGGGATTACTATTTGAATATTTACACTTCCAAGTGTGTTTTAACTTCCTTATCACATAAACTATGCTTCTAACTACAATATAGTTGAACTCTGTAAGCACGTTCTTAACTGATGGCTGCTACTTTGACGTGGTAGTTGGGCTTGCACATCACAGTGACCTGAGCTATGTCGGTGAGACGCTTGTTTCCTCGACGTCCTACCATGCCAGAAAGGTCTGTTAGATAATGGTAAGATGGAAAGCAGTTACCGTTGTGGTGTAAATTACCACACTATGATAGGGCGAAGTCGTACTGTTGCCAGCTGGATATAGTGTTACGACAGTAAGGTGTTTCCCTTAGATAACTGGAAGTACCACACTGATGCTCCCTTCCCAACGGAAAGGCAGACGGTAGAAGAGTTCTGCCTCCAAAATAGCACACTCCACCTGCCCTACAGTTTTCCGGTGCCGGCGTCAGAACAACCAAACTTCAAAACAACAACCCGCAAAACGATGAGTGTGACCGACTTCAAACGGATGTCGCATGGGCTTTGAGGTCACACAAATCTTTTTCCCTTTCAAGTACCTTAAGAAGAAATAACCTTTCACGATGTAGGCAGCCGGGAAGTGTCAGCCCCCCTCACGCCTCTAGTAGCTCACAAGAATATGAGTAGTTGACACTGATAGTACTAGTAGTTGTTGGTTTAGTTTCTTAAGAAGTAAATGATAGTGATTAAAACATCGAGAAACAAACCCACAAACCTCTTAGCATTCATTCTTTTTCTGTCTACTTCTTTACATGCTACTGTGGAATTTGACCACTTTTGTTCCTAGTTCTGCGTTAATTTGTCAGTTCATACAGTTGAACTTTCCAACCCCTGTACTGTTTATACAGCGCTGCAAATACAATGGGCTGTAATCAGTTTAAACGGGGACAAGGTTTCTATCTCTTCATCTTACTGTTAGTTTTTTCCTTCTTTTGAACAAATCAACGGGGTTAAACTTTACTTTTAGTTTATTTTGGTGAATATCTCTAATTTTGATAAATTAGCAGTACTGTTCTCGAATGAACAACGTAAATTTTGTTAGGTTGAATCTATACCTTCTTGTTGAGGATAGATGAAAACAAAAATCTTGGTTGGAAGTATTCTTTTTTAATCAATAGGATTCTGATGAGTTGTTTGGGGTAGATGAGCATACATGTTTACTCTTAACTGAAAATAATCTATACCTTCAGTCTGAAATCCACAAAAGGTAAGGTCTATTTGGTGGAATAATTAATAAAACTCTAGCCTAATGATGAAATAGCAACAGCGTATATGTAAGTCCTCCTCATCTAGTACATCCCCCATTCCTATTGATAGTTACGTATTATCATCATCCATCAACATAGAACCAGGCATTACTACATAACAGTCCGGGGTGCCATAGCTCATATCAGTACATCAAGTAAAAAGGCAGTGAAGTGGAAGATGAAGAAAAGACAATTCAGTCGAGGAAATATAAGGTACTAAAAGAGAGAAGGGAAGAATGATAAAACGGTGAGATTCTGTATAACGTAGTTAAGATGAGGATAATGTGTGTATGCATCTGCGCCACTGACATAAGTTCTGAGCCATATAACCGAGATTCAGTTTCCAACCACTGGTTTGTCTTGTCCCGTGAACCACGACCGACTAGTCTGTATCGCCCTACGTAGCTCAAATCAACAGTCAGAGACTTCATACATTGATGCCGTGTTTTAGTCTGACCGCGTCGAGCCTTTTTCCAGTCTGAACCTACTTCGACCAACATTGTGTGACGTGGTAGATGGCGACTAGGCATACGTAACACATGTTGGAGCCAGCCATCTCAGTCGATGAAAGTTCACAATCGTATCAAGTGATTTGCATGCATTGTTATCAATACTCTATAGGAATTCGGATGAATACTGTGTAAATATTCTTATTTCAAATTATCCTCTATATTAATGATCGATTTATAGACTGTTTCTAACCTATTTCTTTTCTTTATACAATTTCATCGTCGTGATTTATTCATCCTAACCATTACTTCAGTGCAATTTTTCTTAATTATCATTTTCAGAATGTTCAACTGAAGTCCAGTTCTAACTCAGCTCTTATTCAGTTTGCTGAAATGCGTGGTCCGATACGCGCAATGAATGCTCATGCTCGTGAACCTCTTCGTTTAGGAGGTCGACCACTTTCACTAGCTTATACACCAAGTACACCGACAACATGCTTGTGGGTATCAGATCTACCACCTTCACTGGTCAGTTTATCAGATGAAGAGTTGCTGCATACGTTATCGCAGATAGCTCCTGTTCAAGAGGTGAGTGGTATTCCCAGCTGTAATGGTTCTAGACCTCTAAATAACAATGTTTCTTAGTGTTTCGGACTTTTACTGTGTGTGAATTCACCTGGGGGTAGGAGTGGAGGTTTGTTAACTTTGACGGATGAAGCACACAAAAGGTGGATAGATAATTTGTTGTCTGTGTTCGTCTGACGCCTTAGCCTGTTGCTGAATCCTTTGAATCTTTAACTATGCATGACTGTGTGTGCACTGCATGTAACTCCATTCACCAGCATTTCATATTAATCAGTGCATATATCTGTTTATGCGCCTTTATTTTAAAGGCAAAAGGCTATCTATCGTCATATGACCTTCTTATTTATCCATCATTATCCTATTTGTACACTATGCGTATGATAAATTAGTCTCAGTAGCAGCAGCAGTAGTAGTAATTGTATGCCTTACATATTTTCTTGACATTTTCGTTCGACTGGTGTACTTTTATTGATTGCTGCTCCCTTCATGTTTTCATTTGATTTCCAACCTATTATTATTCTTGTTCTTGTTGTAGTCAAACCCGCCCACTCGGATTCCTTACCAATTGCAGTATACATCTCTCTCTCTCTCCCTCTTCGATACACATTTATGCGTGTTTGCATCAATGTTGCGTTTTGTCTTGCTGATTTGTGTTAGTTATTCTATGGTAGGGGGATGTCCAATATTTCAGACCAGTTAGTTATACATTGTGTTCTTTTATTTTTACCTCAGTTTTATCGATCTTTCGTTGTGTTATTCTGAGGCGTAACAGCAACACCGTAACTGGTGCATTCCTTGTATAATATATTCTAATTCTACACTCCATCAGTCAGTCCTATGCCCATAGCAAACGAAACTACTCCTTTAATATAGAATTGTGATATTATTAAAAACAACAATTCTCATTACCACCACCTGTATAGTGCATCGTTTTTATTCACTTCACCTATAAACAACACGAAAATAGGAAGAAGTTGATGAATAGTAAATTGCAAGCAATATTAGAATATTCATTAAAGTAAACGCTACTAACATACTAATAACAATATGTTGTCAAGTCAGTCTAACATTAATCCTGACAACTACTGAAGTAACCAATCCGATTTATATATATTTCATGGGAAAAATACCTTTTTTTAGTCGTTGCTAGGATGACCTTTAATTTTGTTCAATTGATTTATTCAGACGTTTGTCTTATTCAACTCAATTTTGTCTATTTTAATTCAGTGTTTAACTGATTGCTTACGAAATAAAGTAGTACTGAGTAGTTGAATAAACCTTTTCGAAGTGACTCATTTTTTTGCACTGTGTGGTTAGTATACAATCTACACCTTTTGTAATATGACAGTAATAAATACTATTGAATTCTAAGCGATAATTTCATTTCTTCCTTTGCATACTCTACAGCTATCAGTGTCATTCATTCTTTACGCTATTTACTCAGTATTCACCCCCTTTCAAATAAATGAAGGTTGTAGCAATTTAACACTAGTACTTTTTACTGATATGTTACATATAAACTAAACCATCGATTTGTATATATGCACTTCATTTTGCACTATGGTACAATACTATAGTCAGTCTAGTTTTTCTTACTTGCAACTACTGAAGAAAAAAATTGTTTGAAAATTATTCTGTTTGTTATTGTTGTATGTCTTGCTGGTTTAGTCTTGTTTATACTTCTACCTGTCTCTTTCATACACACAAATATGCACCCTGACTATTCCCTCTGTTGTACTCCCCTCTTTGTGTACTGTCTACATTTTTTCGTAGCATATACCGATCTTGTTAGTGTATTTATAAGGTGAACAGGGAGAAACTTTTTTTATTCAATAAGACGGATAGTGCATACATTACTTGTTTTTTCTCTGTTAACAATTGTTCTAATCATTACACCTCAATGCATTGGATATTTTGTGAACTTCAAGTCTTTTGAAAGATTGAAGACTTCTCTTCGAATGAATAACATATAATTGTCGAGAAAATCAATTTTCCAGGTTGGTTATTCATCATGGATTAACATATGTTGAAGAAACATTGGAAACCTGGGAGCACTGGACTGCTGCTGTTTCGTCGTAGTATGGGATTTCTCAGTACTGCACACCCATGACCCCATCAGAGATCGAAACCAGGGGGTATAGACCATTAAGTTCCAACCCAATGGCTCACTTGTAGCGTGCTGACCATGGACGATAGGTGCGCACTGCTGAGGAGTCATATAATAGGATGAAGTAGCTGTCCAGTGATCCCAGGTTTTCAATGTTTCTCCAACTGATGTCAATCCATGATTGAATGCCAAGCTGAAATCAATAAATAAATTCCCACATACCTCCAAACTAAATCAATAATAGCTTGACTATTACCCTTTGTATTTAGCTTCTATTGTTCTAGCGATTAGTCTATCCTATAAATTATCACTGATTGTGATTGATGTCAACTGTAACCACAGTTGGTGAATTTGAAATAAAACCTCGAAATCGATGACTAGTCGTATTATTTTTCTAACAAGATGATGTTATCATAAACTACCTTGTGTAAATTGATTGAATATTTAGGATTCTAGTAGTCATAATAGGTTGTACATAACGATTATGTTTTTGATTTATGAAATTTTAAATTGCATACTTCATACACTGTGTATCAGTAATCATAAATGTTAACTGAGGTGTACTTTCACCGACTGATACATAAACTGATCCTTACTGTCAAATGGACAGACAAATAAGTCAACATCGAACTTGGCAATAGGGAATATATTACTCCGAATTGTTGACAATTCATAGGAGCATGAAAAAGACGTGCATAGAAGAAGACTAACATTAAGGTACATAAAGGAGAGAGTTTCAAATTGATTATTGAAAAGACATTGAAGAGGGGACACGTCTTCACCACTGTGACCAATTTTCAACCATGGCACTAAGAGTCTGAAATCACTGATTCTTATCGTCTCGAAGATGCTAGGCAGGCAGTCTGTCTATGCCTTCCTACACAATTCAGAGCAACAATCAGAGACAGACTTCCTAGACTGGTGCCATATCTTGGTCTGGCCACGTTGATCCTTCTTCTAAGTCAATCCAAATTTGGTTAACATTGCCTGTTAATTTAGGTAGTGTGTGTATGTATATTGGTGTGCGGGAAACATTTCCAAACTATCTCAGTTGGTGAATGTTCACAGCCTCATTGACTGACTGACTAGGTTTCCTACGCCCAATCTCGACTTTGTTTCCTCAATGATTTCGCCCCCGTGTAAGCATTGCTACGAAGACTGGTAATGCTGCAAAGCTTTTACCACATATGTTTACGTGCAGTATCTTCCTGAGATAGTAGTAATATTATTATTATCGTTGTTATTACTTTATTTCAGATTGCTCTTATTAATCGTAATGATCAAAATACGCGTGCTCAGTCTACTCCATCGATTTCTGCGTCATCACCACATTGTGCAGCCTATATTAAACTCAATTCTACTGAACACGCAATCCGTCTGTTGACTGAATTACGATCTGGTAAACAGTATTCATGTTCTCAACAATCATCAACATCATCATCAATAACAACAGCTGGTGTCAACAAAACATCAACACGACGTCCTATAGCAGTGGATTTCGCTAGTCCTAGACAATCAAGTATTGTTGCCAATTTACAGTTGAATGTTTCAAGGTATGCATATATATATATTATATATGTGTGTACTTTTTCTTCACTTGTTCATTCGATAATATCCATTTCATTATCATCGTTGAAGCAGCCAAACCTTTTGCTTCGCATACAAAAATATATTTGAGAGTTGTATACTGTAACTGCTAGGAAATCATCTCCGTTTAACATCAGTTTGAGACCTAGTAGTTCGTGAGGTATTCGCGTACATATTATGAGCATGATTTTGAAGAAAAAAAATAGGCATGAGTTGATTGGAGGCAATCAGCAGGAAACCTTGGACCTAGGTTTGGCACTTGTCAGCAAGGCGTATCAGCAACGTCGACGGAACTGATTTCCTTCCTGTCTGAGATTCGAAACCAGCGTCACCCAGTGTTACCACTGAATCTCCAACCAGCTAACGTCTATTAGTGTGCACCTCCTAGCTTGAAAAAGTGGTTGATAGAATTCGGTTAGCACTCATGACTAGACACCATGAAATTGAATGCTCTCCCTCAACTAATCAATGTTTTAAAAATAATATTCAGCAAAATCTGACATAATTATGTAATGAGTAAAGCTGTCATCACTATCTAAAATCAATAAGTAAAAAGATAGTAAAATATAAAGAATAATATCGATTTGATATTGTCTTTAGGGGGGAGATAGGAAGTCACTGAGATGCTGCAAGTGTACATCCAGATGTGTGTGTGTGTGATGCGCATCCCCCTAGACTCCAGCGTTAGGGTACTGTTGACCTCTTTATTATTGGTAATGTTGTTTTTTATTAATGATGGATAGTAACTGACAGTGGGATCCATGATGCACACTTCGTCTTATCAGATGGATGTAACTGCTTCTCAGTTAGCGATATTTTCCCCCTTAAGACTCGAACTTGGTACAACAAGTTGATTGACTTTATACGTTTTTTAAATGCTAAGCTCAAGAAGAAAGGTTTCAAATTAAAATATGATAGTTACCTGTTAATTATCTCTGTTATCTTTGTATGAGTAATATCATTTTATGATGATTGAATATATGATAACTAGAATTTTTTTTTCAATATTTAGGTCATCTTTGAATTCACATCGTGTTAGAATTATTTCCTCATCAAATGTGGATCGATGGGAGTCATCGAATAAGTCAATCAATAGTTTACAACCTCCTCCTAGTGCATCTTCAGCAATAACTACTCTAACATCGAAATCGATTGATTCTACAACACACAGTGTTACTCGTTCATCAGTTAATATTGTTAAAACTTCAACTTATCGAACAACAACTATATCTCAGACATCAACACCTGTCACTAGTGGATTATCATCTAGTCATAATCAACTTCATCTCAACAATTCATTATCAGATGTTGTTACAGACTTAAAGAAGAATAATCATATATTTGTTGATAAACAATCTGATGTACCTACAAAAGGAAGTTCTATACGAAGATCATCACGTTCTAAATCATCTATTAATCAGTCTAACATTCTATCAGATCGTGTTTATCATGAATTATCGAATAATCGTTTAAAACGATCACATGACACAAGTCCTAGTAGTCTTAGTACAAGTAGTAGCAGTAGCAGTACAAGTACAAGCAGTGATAGCTCTAGCAGCAGTAGTAGTAGTAGTATCAGTAGTACATCGATATCATCTTCAGGCAGTTCAATGAGTGCATCATCAGGAGCTACATCACATCGTCGTAATAAAACTTCACCTACAAAAAGTAATCATAAATTAAAATCTATTGATTCATATGATAATAAGCATTCAATTAAGACTTCAGAGCATACTTCATCCTCACAATGTAATCCTATAAAAATATATAAATCTTCAAATAATAATAATAAAGTTAAAGAAGGTGCATGTTTGAAAAAGACAGATTCATTTCATTCTTCAACTGTGCATAGTTCAAGATCTGGTGATTCAAATTCATCATGGCTAACAGATGCACCTTCAGATTCATCTTTTATTCAACAACCTCTGAGAGTGATGACAATGAACTCGTCTGTATTATCACCTATTCGAAGTTCAGCTGCTAGTAGTGGTGGCCTTTCTAGTCCTGGAGGATCTTCTTCTTCTATTATAGGAAATAATAGTCTTCGTAAAACACCAAATACTGGTTTGGAAAATGTGTCCAGTGGCTGTCAGTCTGAATTCGTTGGTCCATCACCTAACCATCATTCATCTTTGAGATTATCAACTGCTACACAACCACTCACTCATACACCCACCGCTTTAATCATGGGAGAGTTTAGAGTTAGTCCAACTTTAAGAGCCTGTTCTGTAAGTGCTAGTAGTGGAGTGAGTAGTGGAGGTCCAAGTTTCAGTAGTACAAATAGTAGTGGAGGAGGAAGTACTGGTAGCAGCCCTTTAACCAGCAATAACTCAGCAATGAGTAATTGTCAGTCTATAGTGGTTTCAAAATCGAACTGTGGTAGCCAGATTAAGGTAACTTCATCATCTCCTTCCCTGAAACGCAATATTATTCATATTGGACAGTCGAATGGAGTTGACACCTCTCATACTGGGAGTGCAAACAAATCAAGAACTTTTAGTGATTCTACGTCAAGCTTTAAAGTTCATTTATCTTCGAATTCTGCTTTGGCTTCATCCTCACCGGGTTCTCGTAGTCCATCATGTATGTCGTCGACAACCACACCATTGACAGTTTCAATTAAACTTGCTGGTATCACTAGACCATCGCAACCTAGTAATCTGGTCTCTCCATGCAGTCTTTCAGAAAACAATGATGTTTTCACCGCAAACCAAGATAAACAAAGTAATGATTCCTTACCGTTAACTCCAGTGTCAGCACCTCCTCTTGGTTGTAAAACGTCTCGGCATGCATCTACTGACCCTAGACGTCGTAGTATCGGAGTTGAAGCACCAGTCGGTGGTGGGACAAATAATGATATGACGGATTGGTGGAGCAATGGATCACCTGTGTACGAGTCAATGTATGACAAGATTAAACGTCGAACAAACAAAGAGGCTGAAGAACGTCGCCAACGTCAACTTGAAGCTTTTACTTCTCGAGAAAAGAAGAATAGGAAACAAAGGAAAAAAGAACAGTTGACTAAATCTCCACCATCCAATAGCGTTCCAATCTCTTCTCCAGATTCATTCAGCAATGAACAGTGCGGAAAAATCAATGCGTTTTCATCAAATGGAAAATCACATCACTCTGTCAGTTCAAGATGCAAATTAGAGGTCAACAACCGTTCATCAAACAAGAAGCATACTAATCGTCAGAAAAGTGAGATATCATCTACACATTCTTTTCTGGATGATGACAATAATCACTTGTCTCAGTGGCACTCAACTCATACACATACACGTTCTGATAGAGTTTGTACTGATGCAAGTGAGTCACATTTATATTCACGAAGAATGTCTAGAAATATGAATTCAAGAACAAAACGTCGCCGTAGTGTTGTTAGTTCATTATCATCTTCATTATCAAGTGAAGGTGAATGCAACTCGAATTCCCCTCCGGAGACTTTAACACGATTAAGTTTAGGTATGCGGTTTCCTGTTTCTGCTACTTATCATGAATGTATTAGACCAGAGAAATCTACACCGAACAACCGTAAATGGTCAAATCTAAGTGATGATGATGATGATGGTTTAAGCCAACTAAGTTCTTCATTATCTTGTTCTAGCACTGAAAGTAAACCAAATCTATCTAATTCTACTAAACGAAAATCTCATTTTCCTGTTCATAAATTGGATCAATCAAAAAATATAAATTATTCCAGTTTTAATTCTAGTCCATTCAATCGAAATTGGGATACAGATATTCGATCAAGTGAATTACGTAAAAAATGTACATCCGAATGGAAAAATTTTGAGAAAAAATCAAAATCTCACAATAAACAAACAAGTAGAGCTTGTAAACGATCTAAACCATTTTTAACTCCAGAAGATAGATATAAGTCTTCAGAGAAAACATCATATAATAATGGTATGCTTAAAAGACAACATAATAATGAAAGTTTTTCATCGAAATCTACTTCTGATTTACACCCTAATAAACGTAAAAAAATCATAAATAATACATCTTATAAAATTAATAATAATAATAATGGGAATGATATTTCGAATAAAAATTTTAATTGTACACATCGTAATCGACGTATAACATCACCGAAACATTCCACTTTTCGTAATCATCATATTCATAGTCCTAAACCATACTTCTCAGATGATGGCACAATTTTAGACTCTGAAATTGATGATGTGAAAGGCAGTTTTATCAGTGGTTCAGATTCAATATCTCATACTACAGGTACAAGTGAACATCATAGTATAAAAGATACTTATCTGCATAAAAATGATAGACCATTATCATCACCTTTACACAGTGAAACTGATGAATCTACCGCATTTGGTGATCTAGACTCACATATACACAGTCCAAATTCTAGTCGTTGTCATTCAGATTGTACTAGGAAACAAAGAAAGTGTCTACGCAATCCATGTATTATGACTACTACTACTACTGCTACTACTCTTCAATCTAGAGATGACGGTGATTCCGTATTCGATGCTCTTCTTGATTCAGATCGCTTTTCTGCTAATTCAAAGTCTACAATATCTACAGAACCAATGGAACAGTGTGAACTTGATGAGGATGATGACGAAGATGCAAATAGCCCATGTTTAAAGTTTACTACAGATGGAGAAGATGATGATGACGTTGGCGATGGATGGCATTCTGGTATACCATCGAGTTCACCTCATCCAGTCCATTTGGAATTTGATGACGATGATGATGATGAAGATTGTGGATTATCAGACAGTAAACCCAAACCAAATACTGTGGTTACATATCAGTCTGATTCACCTGTTGAGAAATTATCAAATTCTATACTCGAATCGTCGGATGATGAAAAACCTAGAGAAAAAATAATGATTCAGTCGACGAGTATTGTGAAAAACCAACATTGTCTGTCTTCCTCATATAATGATGACGATGATGATAAGAAAGTGGATAGCAGCTTTGAAGCATCGCATTATGATAATGGTGATAGCAGTTTAGTGCTACATAGTTCACCTAATCTAGTGAATAAGTTATCCCCTACCGATGATAAACAACATTCAGATCAGCATATATTGACTGAACAAGAGTCAGATAGACAGACATTGAGTCCTGTGCTTGTTGAACAATCTTCAACAACACCTACAATCATAAGTGAATTGAAACTCGACAAACCTGAACATTGTCCTTCCCCATTGAAACCAGTTGTTGATGAAGTGGCGGCTAATACTATTATCCCACCGCCAAGTACTAACCATGAAAATGTTGCTGTAGTTACTGACCATTCGAGTATTGTTAAAGAGTCAGATTTGTGTCAATCTTCTACTGTAATTACTGCTGTTAGTCATTCATCTGTCTGCACATCCTTGAGCAATTCAGTAAAAGTCAAAGGGTCTACTTCCATTCATTCAGAATTAGAACTGGTTAATAATCAATGTGCTACCGGAGAAGTAACCACAAAGTCATCTCCAAAAAATGATACTATCCAATGTATACCATGTGTCTCTAACTCTCCCATTCTTACACAGCTTACATCATCTACTTCATCTGATTCAGTTCCAGTTAGTACTACATTATCTGTGTTTTCAAAACCTCTTAATTCACCGTTAACTGTTAGTAATAAACCTGTAAATGTTAGAGCTGTGGACAAATCGATTGAAAATCCCATTCAATTAGATCATTCAGTAACCCGTCAAGCATGTCTAGGTAATGTCAAATCAGTAACATCTATGTCATCTTCAGTTTCGTTGAATTCTCAACCTACTGAAGTACATGATATTACTCGTTATGTTCAAAGTGTTATTGAACGTGTGAAAGCTGAACGTGTTGAAGAAAATCAACAGGCAGCTGCTGCTGCAGCTCATTGTCATCACTCTAATCATCATTCAACTTTACCTGCAACATCAATTCCCATTTCAACTTATCCAAGTGTATCTGTAAATCAAACATTAAAAGTTTGTAGTGAGCAGAATATGTTGCCTGGGATTGCTTCATCTCACAACAAACGATCGTATAGTGGTCAACGTCGTTCATTACTGGTCACTGCAAGTACTTGTTCTCCTGCTAAGAACAATTCTTCATCCAGATGTACTAAACTGATCAATCCTAGTACACATAATCCAAATAATCCTATTACATGCAGTATTGATGAACCTACCACTCATATAATCAATTCGACTGCATCATGTACAATTGCATCATCTCATCCTATAATCTCTTCAGATTTACAACTACCATCCATTCCTGGAGTTAATGCATGTACACCTTTGAATTTGCCTGTTAGTCAACCCAACACTACTCAACGTGTCACCAGACAGTCTTGTAATGCACTCGATAATTCACAAATATCTTCCAAGCGTTCTGATACTTGTTCTAATAATTTAGATACAAGTACATCATTACCTGTAGGTGTAACAAGTCGACGCCAGCGGCGATCTGAAACAAAAACAGCTCCTAATACTAATACTACTTCTGTGTCTAAAGATAATCCAGTTTCTTTCATTACATCGACTACTTCAATATCAATTGTTAGTCCATCTTCAATTTCCACTTGTTCAACTTCATCAAATTTAGTCATTGGTAAATCAACGGAAGTTAGTATGTCCAATCATCCTGTGATATCGACAAGTTGTGTACAAGTATCATCACAAAGTGGAATATTATCTTCAAGTGATTGTATACAGAAAGTTAAGAGAAGTAATTTTTGTACATCTGTTGATCCATATGAACCTAATTTTGATGAAGAATCACCAGTTGGTTTTAATCCAGCTCAATTACATCCTCATCGATTATCACCTTCACTATGTCCATCTCCAAATTCTATTCATCATCATCATCATAATCAGCCTCGTAAAACACCTACCACAACAATTTCAAATACAACAAATTCGCAATCTCTTCCTATCACATCGTTAGCTGTTATTTCTTCCTCTTTATCAGTTAACTCATCATCATCATCATCATCAGGGCTTATAATGCTGGATTCTAAACCGATTCGAAATGTTGAAATGGTTACATGCACAACTGGTTCACAGTGTGAACGTGACACTCCTGTTGTAAATATGCCACCTACCTTTTGTGTTTCTTCAGGTCAGTTAGTTGATACAGTGGATGAGGTGATTAGTGATGTTTGTGCAGGTCATTTTGATGTCCAAAGCTACCTAAAAAATTGGTGTTTTACTACCACCACTACTACTACTACTCCTACAACAGCTGTTACTATAACAGGAACAACTTCTAATAATCTCAATATTGTTCAACAGTCTAAAGTAACTATGAATAATAACGCATTGCAAGAATCGTTAACTGTACCTAACAGTAGTTTACTGAATACTTCAACTTGTACTACAACTACGATCACTACTACAGCCAATTTACCATTACAATCAAACAATGCAACAATAGTAGCCAATATATCAAATACACCTTCAGGAATACCATTTTCTCTTCCTATCACCAGTGAACCAATTGTTGCTGCTGTTACAATTCCAACTGGAAAGTCTAATAATTTGGGAAAGAATGATTCTAATAATACTGTGAATATTGGCACAGGAAGTGCAGTATTGAATACTCTTCTTGCTGCACTTCAACTTATACCAGGAAGTCAGGTAACAGTCACAGGTCCAGCAGCAGCAGCTGGAGTTGTCGGTAATCTAACAGCCAATAACTCGCGTACAATTTCTGCAGCTACTATCACACTCCCTGTAAATGCAGCTCAACAAGCTGCTGCCAACATTAAGGTGTGTAAATCTTTATTTCATTTTTTTGGAATGTTATTTGTATTTGTCGTTGAATGTTGAAGAGTAGATGTAGATTTAATTGACAGTGAAGTATAAATCACTATTTCATGGTTTAATTCTTATTCACAAACGGATAATTTTTTTGTCATGATTATCGGATAGGCTTGTGAATTATCACAGTTATGTATTTGTTAGTTTGCAGACCTTGTTTACCGTTTGACGATAATTTATGAGATATAGGTTAGGCAACAGCAGTTTAGCGTAATTTAGCATAACCTCCCCCCCCGCGCCATCATCCCAGGGATTTCAGAATGCAAATAGAATTATTCATATAGCCAGCATCTACTTCTATTCATTGAATGCTCTGTTGAAAGTGTATCATATTCAGGTAAGAAATTGAAGCAACAAAAACAACAACAATGCCTTTCATGTAACTAAGTAGTCTAGTCAATTTACTTGCCAACGTAATAAATTTTTAACTCATACTCAATTAACTAACAGATATACCGTCCTCATTATGGATGTACAAATGTAAAGTTTATTGAGTACGATTTCTGTTATCTTCCCTGGAGGTGTTCGATTGGAGATTGATTATCTGTTTCAGTTCTTCACTTCTACTCATCAACTCACATTGGGTTGGTTGGTTGATTGATTGTATAAGGTTGATATGTTAGGATTGCTCACTATGGAATTGATCTCTCAACTTGATCACGTATGACTAACACTATTTGTTAATATAACTGTATATTTTCTGCTTTATTTTGCACCTAAGTCATATTCTATTATCATTTTACTTGGACTTATTTTTATTTCAATTCTCGATTTTCTAATTTTCAGGCTGCTGTTTTATCCGTCACAAATGCCAATAGTCAAGGAAAGGCAACCAACCTCAACTGGAATCAACAAGATTCCTCAACGCCTAGTAAGAATCCCAATGAATTTGTTAAAGAAGTTAGCGCTACACGTCGAGTTTTTACTCCACCAATCTCTATACCTTCTACCATCCCGCCTAATACGCATAGTCGTCTAACTACATCATTACAACAGTCGAATACTACCCCAGTTGTTTCTACGACTTCAGTCCAGATACCATTCATTGCTCATGATAATATCACTAGCGGTAGTATAAACACTGTAACTCATCAATATCCTAGGACATTGCAGTCTGGTGGTACTACAATGAATGAATCGGTAGTTTCAAATACAACTTCTGCTCCTCCACTTTACCAGTTACAAATGGCAATGGAGTCCTCATCTGCTAGATCTCATTTGATATCAGTTAATGCATGCGAACAACCGTTGAATACTACACCTGTGTTTACTTCCGGTGGGAAATATTCTAATGTGAATTCGGCTCCAAGCCTACATGCATCACTAGTGTCGCATTCACAACAAGTCAATATATGCACAACAAAGCAATCTTTCATTCCACCTACATCACCGACAGTGACCAATGGTGCTCATCCTCAAATTATGTCAAGACATGTTTCGAATGCACCACCTCCTTCATCGTCACCAGTTATCCATGGTCGTAATCCATCATCTATTCCATCTTTGACTAATCCTGTCTTGCAAACTTTAATCGATCGATTAGGGGGCAATGTGGAGCCATCTGTTGCAATGGCTCTTTTTCAAGCAGCTCTCAACGGTCCTAGTCTACGGCGTAATCCTAATGATAATTCACCAGACACACAAGTTAATCCTTATCTGAGGCATGTAGCTCAACAGCTTTTAGATAATCGGGGTTGTAATGGCTCTACAAAACCGTCAATCCCGATTAGTCATTCTGAATCACAAATTCATTCAGCCAATATATGCACTAAGAGCTTATCTCCGTCACTAACAATGCAGCATACTCCTGCGAATAACACCAGTTATACTGCAAATCCTCTTCGACCTACAGCTCCAGGACATCCTTTTGTTTCCTCAGTACGGATCAACCCTATAGATGTTGAAATGAGTTCAGCTGATCTTGGTATAAACACATTGATATCTCCACCAGTTGTTACATCACGCTTTCCAGTTTCTGATCCACAAACAGTTAATAACAATAATAATAGTAATAATACAATTCCTGCTTCTAATATGCAATCATGGAATAATTTAGGATCGGTAAGTAACTACTTTGTTCAAATTTTGAAACAATATTTTTATTTCATTGTAACTTATCGCTTATATCATAACAAAATGTTTTGTAAAGTACAAGAAATAATCACTAGTTGATGATATTTCTTTACCGTGCTATAATAATAGTATTATAATAATAATAATAATAATAATAATAATAATAATAATAATAATAATAATAGTAATATATTTCTTTTATTCCACACTGTAGTTATGTTTACCGTACAGAATTCTCAGCGTGTAATATTACATCAGTTTACCCACTGAACAACATTTCTAAGACATTAACAATGGTGCTGTTTAACAAAATATAATAAATAATAACGAATAACAGGATTATTGAGATGTTTAATGACTTTATGGACATGATAACTGTTTGCCATTGCTAAGTTGACTGATACGACTGTGATTTTTCCTCATACAATATACAAGCTAAATAAGGTGGTATGGTTGAGATTTGTATGTAGTTGTGTGTGCAGAATCTAATATATTTGCTTCTTGTCATCCCAGACACCAGATATGGAGAGAGGTGCGGATGCAGAGGATGCTTATCATCAGATAAAGTATAAGAGTTCAGATGCCTATCCAGGACTGCATTTATCAGCTCTGTTAGGGGTGTTCTACTTGCTCTACTAACAGCCTTCAAAATCTTACGCAATACAATGTAGTCTTTTTTCCGGAGTTTAGGGAAAAATAAGGGGAATAGCAAGTAAGTAAAGGTAAAACACAAGAATTAGTGAAACGAAAGAGTAAAGCATACGTTTTTACCCGACAGTCTGAGTTTCCTAAGCGAAGGATTTTCGTAGAAAGCAGTAAGATATATTAGGGGACGAAGAATTCAATACAACGATGAAGAAAATTCCTCTTGTTGTTTTGTGATTCAATTTAAGTATTTTCATACTAACATCAGTACAACCTGGACTCATGTTCTTAAGAATGGTAATCAGCAAATTGTATCCACAATCTGTGATGTATATTGTATTCCTCGTTTTAGTCTGGAAGCTATGGCTCATTGGTTTAGGCAGTTGACATTTAACCAGTTTTGGACAACCTAGTCCTTACTCATTGGGTGTATGTACCTCATCGCTATCTACTCCATGAGTGTATGTACAAGGTTGTTTACTCGTTTCAATCCTAGAAATCTTGTTATTTAGCGTCATAGTCAGATATATTTATCCCCAAATTCAACGATTAACCCTTCACTTGTGATTCAAGGGTGTAGTAGTTGTTCAACTTTTGGATCATATGATAAAAAATCAAAACTCACTGAAGCTGTTTTAACCTGTTCGGCTGGGTTATACTAATTGCGCTCGTACCCTTTATATGAATCACATGGTTTCAGTTGTTGCACTCATAGACCTTCCCAGTGTATACTTAAACTGACCAATTATTATAACTGTCAAGATACAAATAGCTAAATTAAGGGTAGCAGTCAAATGGAATACTGTAAAAATGCGATCATGACTGATCATTTTCGACATATTATTGTATCATGTTTGATTTCCGTAATTGACAACCTTCAAAATTTAATTTATTTTGTTTCGATAGTCTTATCCGCTTGTGTGGCAAGGTCGTTTGTCTTTGAAGAATATGGAAACACGTGTTGCGCTTCATTTTGTTCAAGGAAATCACAACCTACTTAATGCATGTATGACACTCTTAGCATCTGGTGGCGGTGGTCAACCTCAATTCTCTTTGATCACAAGTGGTGGCCCATTGCGAATTGTTCAAAGAATGCGTCTTGAACCTGCACAACTTGAAGGTGTTCAGCGTAAACTTAATCAAGAAGGTGCTTCTTGTGCATGCTTAGCCCTGCCTGCCGGTAGTAATCCTGTTGAACTGGCGCAACAAACTCAGATATTGAACGAAAACTTTATTCGTTATATGCAAGAGAAATGGCAGCTGGTATTATTAATGTTGGTCATCCAGATTATCAACAGGTGAGTAGTATGTCTTCATTATCAACCATGTCTTGATTATAGCTTATGTAAAGTTAATTATCCCCTGTTTACCATGAAGAATTAACACTTGATGTGCAAGACGTTAACTACTATCGTCTTTTTATTTAATGAACAAGTAGTTCTTTTAAGTTTTCGAAAGGATATATATTTGTGTGCAAACTGAAATATCTGAAAATATTGTGCAACAAAAATGTGTCTTAGTTACCTATCCTGTAATTACTGATCTTAGTCCCATTGCTTATAGTCGTGTTTAACCCAGAAGTTCAACAAAATATGAATCACTTACACATAAATCTATGTACATTTCATTGCAGCATGTCTTCAGAGAATTGATATTCAAACAAAACTGGTTTTAGTGTTATTGCTTGTATTACACCGTCGTTGATTAGATCGAATTGATCAGTCGCTGTTGACATATGGGCTCCTGTGCAGATTCCTCGATATTGCCTGTGTTCTTAAATATGATGGATAGTGGCTAGCAGTGGAATCCAGGATGTTGTGGGCAATATCGAGGCATTCGCACAAGGACCCATATGCTAACAGAGACTGATCAATTCGGTTCAATCAACAACGGTGTAGTACAAGCAATAACACTAAAACTACACCCATCGCACAAGAAGCGGCTATCGCGGCTCGGTGGCGTAGTGGATAACTCTCTCGCGTTTGAAGCGATCGCTCCCGAATCCGAATCCCGGTGGAAACAACATCATATACTGGGAGATAGGTACATCCAGCTGACGAGTCCCAAATGGGATGAAATGCGCATCTTGGACTCCACTGCTAGCCACTATCCATCATCATTATAAACTCATAGAGTACTGAAATATTTGATTTCTTGGTAATCACCTGGATCGTGACTAGCAGTGGAATCCAGGATGCGCATTTCGTCCTATTTGGGACTCGTCAGCTGGATGTACCTGCTTCCCAGTGAGTGATGTTCTTGTTCCCACCGGGATTCGGACTCGGGAGCGATCGCTTCAAACGCCAGTGCGTTATCCACTACACCACCGAGCCACGATAACCACTTCTTATGCGACGGGTATAGTTTTTATAGTATAATTGTTTTTATATGATACCATCGTTTCTTGGACCGAATTGATCGGTCTGTATTGGCATATGGGCTGTGCGGATGCCTCGATATTGCCTGCGTTCTAATTGTATGAATGATGGATTGTGGCCAGCAGTAGAATCGAGGATGCACATTTCGTCTTATTTGGGACTCGTCAGCTGGATGTACCTACTTAATGTTTTTAATTGTGGTCGGGTTTCAGGTTCACAATTTAAGTGATTTATTGCTAGCATACATAAATTAAGACAAACTTACAAATTCTATCCTTTTTTCTAGTGAATAAGTAATAAACATTTCGTTTTCTGAAATCTACCTTCCTATCGATCTGTTAAGGCACATGATATTATGCTTAGGTTTGGTCTGTTTTTAGGTAGATCTGTCTGCTTTCACATAGATATTAAATTCTATCTTGCCCACACTATCTGCCCGGATTTTTTAGAATCAATGTTCATCGCAATCTCTGCCTGTATTAATTCACTGTCAAATTGTATAGCATTATTTGTTGGTCTATGATGGACCAACTAAATCGATTGAATTACTGCCAGTTTGACCGGTATGCTTTGTTCTGATTGGTTGATTGTATGAACTGACTTCGGATTATAGTTAGACTGACCTAATTTTTCTATCCCTATATCGGTCATTAGAAAATAAGTCCTTTGTTTTCACTGTTCTCGTATTGGTTTAAATTCTTACTATATATTTTTTATCCAGACTATGTTAGATTATTTAGTTGCTTATTCTCGATGTGGGTAGAAATTGTATAGGTCAACCTTTTTTCGATACGATCGATTTGTCTGTTGGTCTCTGCTTAGTGCTAACGTCTTATAGAACTAAATTTTATCAGTAAGCAAATAAGACTCCTCTTTGATGAATAAACCAGGAAGACTAATGAATACTCTAAGTAGTGTAGGCAATAGTATATTTAAAACATAAACGGACTGCCTGGATGAATAATAAACATAGGTAGGGAGTTTCCACCTATATCTCCTAACAAACCTGACCAAATTGTTAAGTATACATGTACATGTACTTCGTTATTCTGTTAGCTTTATAATGCATATTCTGTGTTGTGTTTATTTATTATTTCTTTCAGGGATTGTACGTTGTCCATATATTCCCACCATGCGAGTTTTCCCATACTCAACTTAGTTTAGCTGCTCCAGATTTGCACAGATGTGTTATGCAGGCGAATCAATCTCATTTATTAGTTGTGATAACAACAGTGTAATTACATAATGCCTCGTTGTGTATATTGTATTGTATCCACTAAACTATTTGAAGAGGTAAGTATTAGGAAGGATATAAATTAATTTTGCTTTATGTCTATACTGAATCAACTGCTAGTGAGTTTCTTATCAAGATAGAGGTGTGTAAGTTAGCTATGAACATACCACAGATCATTAGTTTACTTCTAACATCTGTTTATATACACGCACCTCTACAACATTGCACTTCTTATCCAATAAGCAACACCTCTTAGCAATGATGGGTGCTTATATCTCACTTGGTATCAATGTGTTTAAAAGCTGATGAACTATAAATACATTTCTTTTTTAATAAACAACTATTTGGTCTAATTCAATTTTTTCCTAAATATTACTTTGTATTGTCATTTATGAAGTGAAAAGTGGAGTAATAACTGGATTTTTCAATGGTTTGGACGAATTGTAAATGTACTAAGGCAGCTAACTGACAGTCAATCACGAAAAGTTATCGAAAGCTATGTAAAACCTAAGAACAAGTATCGAAATGTTAAACCTGGATGCAGTTGCCTCCCCGTGTCCGATATGTAGGCATACATGATTTAGAGAGTCTTTGTCATATGGATACCAACGGGTAATCCTACATTTCACCACACATCTAACAGTCAGGAAAGTCATGCTCTATTCGTTGCTGCAAACCACTATCTGTAGAGCAAGTTTTGAACGTGTGTGCCAATTGTGGGCAGTTTATCGTGAGTGGTGTCTCCAACTCCATGCCTACAAGCTGAGATAGATTTGACCAAAATAGACTAGAATTTCATCTAAATATCTCCTTAGTGAGTGGTAATAGCTCCCTTTTTGTCACTGCAGCTAAACCATTACTGCTTTGTGTCTAACACTGTCAACAATTAAAAGTATATCCTGTTACTATAAGCGAAAAACTTGGGCACTGTGGTAGAATGTAGTTCCATATTAGATTTGTTTATTTGATATAAAGCGCACAGTGATACAGTATTATTTGTCTACCTAAAACTATACTACTTCATGTACAGACTCAAAAATATGTTTTCGTAATCATCATCATCATCATTATCAACATAGGACCAGGCATTACTGCGTAACGGTCCGAGTTGCCACACCTCATATCAGCACATCAAGTAAAAAGGTAGTGAGGTGAAGGATGAAGATAAGTGAATGCAGTCAAAAGAAATATAAAGTACGAGAAGAAAGGAAAGAGGAGTGACAAAATAGTGAGATTCGGTATAGCGTTGTTAAGATGAGGATAATGTGTGTATACATCTGCGCCACTGACTTCGGTTCTGAGCCATATCACCTAGGGTCTCCAACCACTGGTTCCTCTTGTCCCGTGGACCCCAACCACCTAGTCTGCATCGTCCTACATGGCTTAAACCAACAGTCAGAGACTTCATACATTGGTGCCATGTTTTAGTCTGGCCACCTCGGGCCTTTTTCCAGCCTGAACCCACCTCAGCCAACATTGTGTGACGAGGCAATCGGTGACTAGGCATACGTAGTACGTGTCCCAACCATCTCAGTCGATGAAGGTTCACAACCTCGTCGACTGACTTACCTCTTCTCCCTAAAACTCTACACCTAACTTCTGCATTACTCACATGGTGACACCACGGAATACGTCCTATACTACGAAGGCAACGGTGGTCAAATACCTGTAACCTTCTCATGTCTTCCACTTTCAATGGCCATGTTTCACAGCCATACAGTAGAACAGAGCGGACTGCTGTGCAGTACACGCGACCCTTAATAGACAAACGAATATCACGGCGGCGCCATAGGTGGCGCAAATTGGCAAAAGCCAATCGAGCCTTTTGTATCCGTGCAGAAATCTCATCGGCAACTAACCCACCGGGTTGATCCTACTTCCCAGGTAAGTGAAGTGGTCAACACACTCAACCACTTCACTCTCTATTGTTAACCGCGGTACCGCTGAAGACCAGTCCTGGAGCAAAAATTTGCATTTGGGTGGTGAAAATCGCATCCCAAACATTCTCAAATTCCCACTCAAAGTGTTCAGAAGACTCTGCATCTTGTCAGCGTCTTCACCTAACAGGACTATGTCATCTGCATATTCTAGATCTAAGGAAAATTCACCTGTGGTCCGGTCAACGTCTTTGTAATTAGGTGACGAGAGGGAAACCTCCATAAGAATATCTATGATAAAATTAAATAAGAATGGGGATAGTGGGCATCCTTGACGGACACCACTTGATGAGTATAGCTCCCTGGACAACTCACCATAGGCTCTAACATGCCCACAAGTGTTCGAGTAGAGAGCTTTCAATAAGGTGATGTACTTACTAGGCACGCCTTTCAGTGACAGACACTGCCATAAGACTTCTCGATCAACGGAGTCAAATGCCGCCTTCAGGTCGAGAAATACAGCTATTGTCGGGCGTCTGTAAGCATGCCTATGTTCCAGGACCTGGCGCAGTGTGAATATTTGGTCGATACATCCACGGCCAGGTCTAAAGCCTGCCTGGTTTTCTCGGGCTTGCTGTTCCCGAGCTCCACTCAGGCGTCGGAGAATTATAGAACTTAGGATCTTAGACACTATGTTTGTCAGGCTGATTCCTCTGTGGTTATCACAAGAGGACTTCTCGCCTTTCTTGAAGACTGGGATGATCAGTGACTTAGACCAGTCGGAGGGGATCGTATTTGATTCCCATATACTGGCTAACACTTCCGTTAGCCTGACTAAGAGAACTCTACCACCATTCTTGTATACCTCAGCAGGTAGTCCGTCTGGTCCTGCTGCCCTTCCCCGTTTCAGGCTACCTACCGCTTTCTCAACTTCTTCTAGTGTTGGGGGACCTGTCTCTATGTCCCATTCAGGGTCCGACTGGATAGCGGGCAGCGCAATGGTGGCTGGAGGCCAGTTAAACTGTTCCTCAAAGTGTTCTGCCCATCGTCCCAGTCGCCTTCCCTGCGAGTGAATCGCCGATCCGTCCTTCTCCGCTATAACCTCACTAACTGTTGTTGACCATTTCCCCCCAGTCTCCTTAATAAGTCTAAATAACTGTCTACTGTTACCGATCGCCGCTGCCTTTTCCATCTCTTTAGCCTTTGCTGCCCACCACTGTTCACGATCGTTGCGCAGACTTTTCGTCAGTTTATTTTTAAGTTGCGCTCGCTCTTCATTGTACTCAGAGCCTGCAGGGATGCATTCACGTGCATCCATTAGTTTGGAAGAAGCTGCTGATATCCACTGGCTCTTTTTAGCCATTATCTTGGAGTCGGCTACAGTCTCCAGTGCTGCTTTTACAGTAGACTGAAGATGGCACCAAGCTTCTTCTGGATGAGTGACAGTCTTTTGTTCCGATAACTGCCTAGCCAACTTCTCACTGAACACGGCTTTGGTGTTTTCGTTGTCCAGCAGAACTCGTAGTGGTTTTGTTGCCAAATTTTTTCTACGTCCATTGAGACGCAGGCATATACGTGCTCGGACCAACGCATGATCGCTGTCCAAACACGTACTCCAGAAGGAGCGGCAGTCTTCCACCGATCCTCTCCAGCGATGACTAATAGCAATGTGGTCTATCTGTGTCCATCGCTGAGTCGAGCTCGGTGGACGCCAGGTCAGACAGTGCCTTTCTTTATGTCTGAAATTTGTGCTGGCTAAAAATAGGCGGTTATCTGAGCATAGTTGTAATAGGCGATCACCGTTATCTGTACGTTCAGCTGGGATTCCGAAAGTGCCACCTAAGTGCCTTTCTGCCTCACTCAGTCTACCCACCTGTGCGTTGAGGTCACCTGCAACAACCACTACGTCCGAACGTTTGGCTTTCGAGAGGAGGTTAGACAGTTTATGGTAGAACTCGTCCTTCACTTCATCCGAACTACAGTCAGTGGGTGCGTAAGCAGAGATTACAAAGAGACAACGGCGAGTCTCACTATTCCTTTTAGTTCTCACTGTGCCGTTCAGCCTCATAGCGCAGAGGCGACTATCAACTGGGATCCAGTCTAGTAGTGAGTTTTCTGCCCTGGTGCTTAATGCTATACCTACACCTGCAAGACCACGAGAGCTAGCTATCGAATCTCCAGAAACTCGAAGGGTGAATTTTGCAGATTCACCAGATTGGTCAGGAGAGGTCAGGTGAATAACCACACTTGGGTCCTGTATGCGTGTCTCACAAACACAGCACACATCCATGCCTCGAGTTGCTAGAGTCTTTGCCAACGAAGCCTGTTGGCCAATTTGACGGAGGGTGCGGACATTGAAGGCTCCAATATGTAATTTGGAGCGTGGTTTAAGGAGACCAGGGACGCTGTTCTGTGGACTCAGATCGTTGTCGAAGGCTGCAGAGGTAGGAGAAATTGAAGATGATGCAGCATCATTAATTAAGAGACGTGAAGGAAGATTAGAAGGTAATGATGGAGGAGGAGGATAGCAGTCAGAAGAAACTTGGGTGCTGACAGAGTTGTGAGGGCGGTTGACACTTCCCGGCTGCCCACACCGTGGAAGGCTATTTCTTCTTAAGGTACCTGAAAGAGATTTGTGTGACCGCAGAGCCCATCGGACATCTGCTTGAGGCCTGTCACACCCAGCCTTTTGAGTATGATTATTTTGAATTTTTGTATTTTTGGGGCCGGATGGTCGAAAGGAAACGACAAGTGAACCAACACCGCCGGCCCGGCAGACCGTGGGGCGTGGTGGAGTGTGTTATTTTTGGGGCCGACCTTTTCTAACCCCCCCTTCCACTGAGAAGGCAGCATCAGCTTGGCACTGCTGGTCATCCAAGGGAAACACCTTACTGCTGTCACACCCCATCCAGCTAGCAGCAGTACGACTTCGCCCTCAGACCCCCATCATAGTGTAGCAATTTACACTATAACGGTAACTGCTTTTCGTCTAACCACTACCCAACAGACCTTTCTGGTATGGTAGGACCTCGAGGGAACAAGCGTTCCACCAG